ATTCAGATGAAAGAGCATATTTTATTTGGGTACAACCATAATAAAAAAGTTATATTGGGATATGTTAATTTAAGTTTTGATATTTTATTTACTAGGAAAGTCAAGCTACCTACGGATTAAAAATATATTCTTCAAAACCCAAAAATTCTCAAGATTCCAGCTTAAATTTTACCAGAAATAAAGCCTACCAAAGTTTTTGCGCGGATATCCAGTATAATAAAGAAGTTTAATCCAAATTTCAATTTTAATTATTATTTTTTATTGCTTTAAACAATAGGTTTTGCATTTTTCGAATTCCTGTAAAACCCATTACATTTATTTTTATAATCTATTGTTTAATAATTATAATATTTCATTATTTTCTCAAATATTATTATCTTAATTTTTAATTAAATTAATGTCCTTTAACCAGTTAAAATTTTGTTATAATTTAGTAAATATTAATAGTAGCCTTATTAGTTACACGTCGTTGACATCACTATTTTTAGTCGTTTTCAGTGAGGTCCTGCACCTGCTTTTTAACAAAAATAAATACAAAAAGAAAAAAACGTAAATTTACACTTCATTTTCTGAAACATACTTGTATGTATGTGCACTTATTGATCCTTTAAATGAATTTGCTTTTTGGCCAGATTCTGAACTACAATAAGATTATTTTTAACTTGCTTCAAATTTGTGATATTTTTTATATTTAAATAAACTAGGAGAATAGTATTTAAAATCGTTGCTGTATTTGGCGAGAAGAAACCAAAACATTTTTGAATCAAAAGATATTTTTGATGTGGTCTACACGAAAAAATTATTACTTGGGACAACCGAAGCTTGGATTGATCCAGACATGAAGGTGAAAGGGATTGCTCTCCATTATGCCATTATAACCATCAAAATGTATTTTCTCTTTATTTTTGGGAGGCATATCAATTTTTTTTTCATATACTATTCAACTGGGAAATTAGATTATCGTTTAACTTGGGATTCAGTATAATAGCAGGGCTATATTTCTTGGCATAAAAGCTTTAATTGTTTATTTTAATAAAATGGAATGTATATAGCTTTAAAAATGTGTACTGTACCACAGAGCAACCCTAAATCAGAGTAAAATCTACTAATGGAGAGGATAAGTAAGCTCATTTTGTTTGTACACCCTTGGTGACCATTTTGAATAAGAAGTTCACAAGCTTCACTTGTGATTGAGTCTTACTGGTATTTACTTTGAATACAAAATTGCAGTGAGGCCGATTTTGTCCTTTTGTTAGAGGTAAATGCAATTTATAGTTTGCGAGATGAATAAATTAAAAATAAATATGGTTGATGTATCTTGTCATTATCTTTACAATATGGCGCAATCAGTAGGATATTTTTTTTTAGAAGCATATGTTAGACACTAGAACAATGAGTATCTGGGTTGTTACCAAATTTTTAACTATATAAAAAATCTATTATCAGCTGATAAATCATTAGGACTGGAAATAGAAACTAAAGAAAAATCTAGATCATTTGAAGATCAAGTGAAATACAAGCAGACAATACGATAAACTAACAAAAGAAGTACAAGCAAAATGAAAGCGAGACGCTTACATTATATTTGGATATAAAGAAAGCAACTTGGTTTAATCTCGACCTTTCGATGATAAGGAGGGAATATTACTGTGATGTTTATTCAATAGCATTGTTTTTCTATACCGTTCTCCTGGGTATCTATTCTTGAATATCAGGGAGTAAAAATTTTGAGGGAAGAATAAGACAAAAATACAAATTTTGTGCGTTGCAGATAAAGAGGAAAAACCGGTTTTCTATTCCCTCGAATTCAAGAATTGCTACCCTGGAGTCAGTATTGGAAAGTTAACATACACTACGTATATTGAGACCTCCAAATTTAGGAATTGGTAATTGGATTTTAATTCAAAACCAGAAAGTTGGAAAATAATTTACTCTTCGAGGATCTTTCAAAATTTTAAGAGAATATTCTCAAAATAGTAATCTAATTAATATTAAGAATGGGACACAAAACAACTTAAGATTCTCTGATTAAAAACAAGATGATTGAAAGAAACATGCTAAGATAAATTATTGCCGGTTTTCAAAATACAGGGTGTTAAAATTTAAAATTCAAAAATTATGGCTTTAATTTGATTAGTTTTCGGTATAATTTTACTAAATTCGGTAAAAAAATTTGATGTGATAAGATACTCCTATCAGCAGAACAATCCGTTAAATAAACTTTACCAGTGGCGTACGGCGCAGATAAGTAAAAGACTATACTTTTAGATTTTTTTAAATAAATCAAATATTTTTTTGGGAATTCATAAAATGATTTGTTTTGGAGATATTCACATTCAAAGATGGATATTCTTAATTTTAATTTATTTTTTAATTTTGTAATTTTAGATTATTTTATAAATTCCCAACAAGAATACAAGGTTTATTTAAAACGCAGGAAAAAATTTAAAATTATAATCCAAATAAGTTTTTGAAGAATGGCGTTACACCACTGGCAAAGTTTATTTAACTGATTTTTTATTGATAGGAGTATATTATGACACCAAAAATGTTTGTTCGGTATAATTTTATAAAAAAAATCAAAAATTATAAAAATTTTAAAAATAAATTAAAATGAGTTTTCAACAAGAGTATAAGATTTATTTAAAAACCCTCAAAAAATGAAAAAGTTTAGTTTAAATAAGTTTTTGGACAGTGATGTAAAATTTAGAGGGATGAAGATGTTATTTATCTATGCCGTACGCCACTGGCAAAGTTATTTAAATTGATTGTTTTACGAGTAGGTGTATCGTATGACACTAACAATGTTTAATGAATTTGGTAAACTTATACTAAGAAATGAAAAAATTATAGCCACTAATAATTTTTGAATTTTCAACTTTAACACCCTGTATTTCGGAAAACAGTAATATTTTATCTAAGCATGTTTCGTTTAATGGCTTTATTTTTAATTAAAGAATCTTTAGTTGTTCTGCGTCCCATTCTTAATGAGACACCCTGTACCTATATGAGAATATTGTCCTTTACATAATAATTGTTTTTATTAACATTATTAACCTGTCAAATATTTTATCTTTATTAGTTGACCTATATCTCACTTGTTATATGTAACTTGTTATCTGCCATTTGTTATATGTCACTTGTTATCTGCCACTTGTTATCTGTCACTTGTTATATGTCACTTGTTATATGTCACTTGTTATCTGTCACTTGTTATCTGTCACTTGTTATCTGTCACTTGTTATCTGTCACTTGTTATCTGTCACTTGTTATCTGTCACTTGTTATCTGTCACTTGTTATCTGTCACTTGTTATCTGTCACTTGTTATCTGTAACTTGTTATATGTCACTTGTTATCTGTCAATTTTGTAGTGGTATCACAAGAGATAAGACAAAAATCGAAAATACCTCTTCCATATGATTAGTCTTAAGAAAACCCTCTATAATTACTCTGTCTACCATTTTTTGTATCAAATTTGAGAGAATTTCATTATCGGAGTGATGATTATTTTAAAATAAAGAGTATGAGACGAGTACTTTATATATAAGAGAAAAGTATCTGCTACCATTCTTTTCTCAAGAAGACAATCTTGTATTTTGTCACGAAATTAATGGACTCATGAAAGAAATGGACTTTTTGAATATATTCCAGATGATTGGCGCCTATTTATTGACAGTTCAAAGGGAAGTTTAAAATGTGTCCTTCTACATAATGGGAATAAACATAGTTCAATACCACTAGCTCACTCAACGAAACTGAAAGAAGAATATAATACCGTAGCTTTGGTCTTGCAGAAGATAAAGTATCACGAACATCAATGGATGATTTGTGTAGACTTAAAAATGGTAAACTTTCTTCTTGGGTAGCAAAGTGGTTAGACGAAATATCCGTGTTTCTTGTGCCTCTGGGATAGTAGTGACAAAATACACTACTGGCCTCAAAGAGAAAATATGGAAGTTGGGGAAAAGAATGTAATTAACGACGCTTTGGTTACAAGAGAAAAAATCATACTTCCTTCGTTACATATAAAGTTGGGCTTAATAAAGCAATTTGAACGAGAAGCTTGGACATCATTTGTTGGAATTTTAGAAAATTTTCTAGGCAAACTTAGAGCTCAAAACTATGTTGAAATGGTTAACAAGATGCTAAATAGTTTCAAATCCTTAGGGTGCAATATGAGTATTAAAATACACTATTTACACAACCACTTAGACCGTTTTCCAGAAAATTTAGGAGACATGAGTGAGGAACAAGGTGAAAGATCACCAAGATATTAAAGTTATGAAGGACCGCTACCAAGGAAGATGGGACATGCACATGATGGCAGATTACTGATGCAGTTTAAAAAGGGACTGTTTAAAAAAACATTCAAGAATGTCGCGGAAAAAAAGCTTTCGAAGTGTTGAGTGACTATTTGATTTCTTCAATGTTTTTTTGTTTGTAAGTACGACATAATATTGTATTTTGTATAACTAAAATAAAAATTTCGTATCTACTTTTGTTTACTATACTTACGGATTTGAGTTAAAATAATGGAACTTATATTTCTCAAAAATTGTATATCTTAAAAATTTGAGCTCCTAGGTAAAAATGAATACGTTCAAATTGATATAGAATCAGCTCAAAAAACCTCGACACCAAAACAGCTGTTCTCCTGTGTTATCATTTTATACCGCTGTAATTATTTAAGTATGGATTAGAGTTTTTAATAATTAAATGGCCACCTTTTAGTAAACCAGTCTTACCAAGAATAAAAAAGCTGATGTTTAGTAAATTTTTTGATTTATGGATGTTCTGGTATTATAATTTTTTCAGAAATAAATTGGACATGCCTAGATACAAATACAATTTCAGAAAATGAGCAGAACGAAGTGTAAATTTAATTAATTTTTTTTTAAATAAAATTAAAAGCCTTCGTTAATTTTTTTAAATAATTTTGGGTTAGGTAATTTGTGTGAGATGATTAGCAATGTTTTTGTATATTTTCCAGAAATGGTACCTTTGGCGCCGTAGCCGTAATTTCCAAAAAATCCAGGCGTATAGTTAAAGTGAGCGTGCGCATCTATGGAATACATTTGGCCTGAAACAGAAAATTATTTTTTTTTTTTCGATATTCCTTAGATAAAATTTTGAACAACAATGGAACGCACTATGGTCTCTAGAAGCCTGTAAAGTATCAGAAAAGTATGTTGAAAAAGAAGTTTTTACCTTGCCAGTAGTAGCTCCCCGGAGCACCTACGTAGAGCCTATCACCTTCCTGAAAAAAAAAAGAGACAATGTAAAATTTAAATGAAAATTATACAGTATAGCGCAAATGAAAGACATTTGTGACGTCATCTGTGGGAGTACGATGACGTCTTTGAATTTTTTTGTCAACAGAAATGTGGTTCATTAAGGATGGAGATATTTTTTTTTTATTTAAGGTAGATTTAGTAGAATAGCAGTAATTTTATGTAAAATAAAACACAATCATTTTTATCTTCAGTTATAATATATCTAATGATTTAGAAAACGAATTATATCGATATCGTTGAATAGGCAACATAAATTTGTAGCAAAATTACGTGGAAAATATGAGACAAAAACAAATGTTCATCTATTCATTGCGATCGTAGAAAAAGTATTATTATAGACGTTCGACACACTTTACATTCGTGCGGAATATATTTACAACTTTTGTTATGTAGGTATTAGGCTATTATTTGAAAATAAAAATTAATGCATCAACTATATCCATTAGTGCGTAATTGTTTAATAATTCAATTTTTGTTATTAACACACAAACAAGTTAAATGGATTTAAAAAATAAGTATTTTTAGAAATATTTTTGGATATACAGGATATTGCGTTTTTGTCTGGCAAATAAAAATGTATATTTTTTAAATATAATAATGTATTTTATTTAAAAAAAGCGACCTTTGATTTTGCTAAGTATAGATGGCGATACCATTTTCGCTCGTTGAATATCTACTCATGCTCATCCCGCCGTAAATGAGTTCGATCGAAATTGGTATTGCAATCAGACTCCATTAGAGACTGGAGTCGAGAATTTCTATTTCTTGCTGACGAGTCCTAATAAGGACGAAACCGGTCCAAGAATGACTTTCTCCTTAGTGGGCAAAATCAAAGATAGTGTTAAAAATATTTTCTATCTCTGCTATTTTCTTTCGACGTAATTTAATACTTGGTGAGGTATTAGCCAAAGGAGCAGTTGTTGTCGAAAGAGAAATGGTCGCACATATATTGTTGTGACTATGGCTTTGAGTATTATTTGATGTATTTTATTTTATTTCAGTTTTAGAATACTGTATTCAACCTTAGAATGTTTTTAAAAATATAACAGTGTTGCCAAGCAATTAATTTTTTTTTGAAAGTAGAGAATGGTGCAGATCCCAAATTAAATTATTATCATAATTTAGGTAGGTTTACATTGATTTTAAAATTTTATTATACAGACTTATAAGATTCTAAGCTAACGAATAGTAGTGATATAACTGGTTTATTATATACAAATTGTCTTGAAACATGTTTTAAATATGGCTAATTTTGAGTTCAATTCACTCAATTTTTTCAAATACAACACCCTGTATATTATTTTAACATAAAATTCCTTATAAATTTACCTATCCAACGATATCAACATGTTAGCCAATAACACATATAGCTGTTTTATTACGAGTAGCTGTTTTATTATTAGAAATACGAAAAACAATAATATAAAAGTTGTATGACCATAATTTTATTAATAAATATTCCTTAATATACAAGGTGGTCCATAAACGAGGGACTGACCAAACATACATTTTTAAAGGAAAACACACTCCAGGTAGTTATACAAATTTGTTTGTTTCTACATCGTCAAACAATTTTAATAAACTGCATTTTTTGCTATGTTGTATATAGGGTGTGTCAAAATGTGGAGTAACAATTTTCTCAATTGAAAAAAAAATACCTTATATGTTATAACACCAACTAATTAATACAGGATAACAAATCGTAACCTCATGTTTCGATACACCCTATATACAATATAGTAAATGAATTAAGTCAATTTAAATTGTTTAACGAGGTGAAAACAATCAAATCTGTATAACTACCTACGGGTGTTTTGCTTTAAAAAAGTACAGATTTCGTCAGCATCTCGTTTATGGACCGCACTATATATTTAAGAATAATTTTTAAATATGGTTATACAACTTTTATTTTAAAAATGTCTTCGTATTTCGAATAATAAAACGATCAATTACGCGCTGATAGGGACATCCTGTACATTGGTATCGTTGTATAAACAAATTTATAAGGAATTTTATGCTAAGATAATATTTCTTTAAAATATTCTTATAAAATATTCCTTTAAAATATTCCTTTAAAATATTTCTTTAAAATATTCTTATATATTCTTTTAAAATATTCTTTTAAAATATTTCTCTCTTCCTTTAAATTATTCCTTTATTCGTTTAAAATATTCCATTAAAATATTCCATTAAAATATTCCATTAAAATATTCCATTAAAATATTAAAAATATTAAAATATTTAAAATACATAGGTATACATTAATTAATAATTTGTTTTGTTGGTAAATAAAAATGAAACCCCACAAAAGGAAAATCCTGAGCGTGGGTGAGAAATTTCATTTTTTATTCCATGGTTCAACAATAATAATTTTGTAAAATATTTAAAATAAAAAACATAAAATAGGTAAATATTTAGTTATTCTTGGGGATAAGCGATGAGAGTTTCACGTAATTTCGTGAGTGAAAGAATGTCAGTAAAAGAATGTCAGTAATCTTTCAGACTATGACAAAATATACTTGAATGAAGAAATTGTTTTAACTTTGTGAATGGCAAACTTAGAATCCATTCTGTAATTTTCTTTTTATATAAATTATATGAGTTGATTTTTTTAATATCAGAGGGGAGTTCATTATATAATTTAGGGCTCAGATAAGTAAAGCATTTCTGGCCGATTGTTTTTGCTGTTCTTGGTACAGTAATTGAATCGATTTTGTGTCTAGTATTGTATGGATGGATAACAGGTTCGGAGTATTTTTTATCTTTATATTGTCTTAACAATAGAATTTTGGCATACAATTGGTACACATTAAAAAATTGTGTATGCGTATAGAGCATTTCAGTCGGGTAAATTCTTGGTAATTTATACATGTTTTTTAGGATACATTTCTGGATTTTTTGTAAGTTTTCTATAAGTGTTATTCCTGCGGAGCCCCATACAATTATTCCATAGGATAAATGAGATTCCACGAGAGCATAATATAATATTTTAAGATATTTAATATTTAATAAATTCGAAAGATTTTTAAATTTGTACACAATTGATCGAAGTTTTTTTATTACATAATTTATTTGAAAATCCCATTTTAAATGAGAATCTATGTATATTCCTAGGTATTTGGTGTTATTGGTAGACCTAATTTTTATTTGTTGATTTCCTTTCTGAATTATTTGAAGGTACTTATATGTTGGTAAATTATTATTATATGAGGTAAAAGGTATGAATGATGTCTTATCATAGTTTATAGTAAGGGCCTTATAATTAAAAAAGTTAGAAATATTTTGAAAATCTTGTTCAGCGGTATTTTTAAGTGTTTCCCAGTTGTTATGTTGATAAAAATTTGGTGTCATCGGCAAAACTGATAACTTCTCCTTTGAATTTCTGTTCAAATAGGTCGTTTAAATAAATATTAAACAATAATGGTCCGAGGACTGTTCCCTGAGGAACACCACATTTAATAACTTTGTAATCACTAAGGATATCGTTGATGTTAACCATTTGTTTTCTATTTTTTAAATAGCTACTTAGTAATTTGTACGTTACTCCTCTAAATCCGTAATTTTCTAGTGTTTCTAAGAGTTTTTGATGGTTAACCGTATCAAATGCTTTTGCAAGATCGACAAAAATGCCCAATGATGGTTGTTTTTCATCTATAGAATTGTTGATAAGTTTTGTCAATCTTGCAATAGCATCCGAAGTTGAGGTTTGTTTTCGAAAACCATATTGCCTATCTGAAAGGATTGCATATTTATTTAAAAACGACGTCATTCTCTTTTCAATAATTTTTTCAAATATTTTTCCAACGCTTGATATAATAGAAACTGGTCGGTAATTAATAACATTAAATGAGTCTCCTTTTTTATACATCGGTATTATTAACGACTCTTTAAGGGAATCTGGAAATATACCAGCATCAATTGATTTATTTATAAGGAAGGTCAATACTGGAGAAATTTCTTGATATAACTCTTTAAGAATTTCGGATGTTATGTTGTCTAAACCTGGATTTTTATGATTTTTTAGGGAAAATATAGTTTCTGTAACTTCTTTGTTGTCTGTACTTGATAAAAATATTGATTTATTGTTTTTTCTTTGAAAAATTTTTAATTTTTGATTTCTAGATAATTTTAAGGCCATAGTTTCCCCAACTGTAGTATAATGTTCGCAAAAAATATTTGATATTTTTTCTGGGTCATTTGTAATATCTCCATCTGGAGTCTTTATTTGTGTAATAGATTGTGTTGTTCCTTTTGAATTAGATATCTCTTTAATGCAGTTCCAAATATTTTTGGTAACATTTTTATTTTTTTCAATTTTTTGGTTATAATATTCAGTTTTTGCCTTTCTTATTAATAAATTTAAGTAATTGCGGTGATTTTTAAAGTTTATTTTATTTTGTTCGGTATAATTATTTTTCATCAATTTGTATAATGTATTCTTTTGTTTGATAGATGTAAGTAGCCCCTTGGTAATCCATGGCTGAATTTTAATTTCATTTCTTTTTAATTTTACTTTATGCATAGAATTCTCTATGTACCATTTTAGTTTGTTTATAAAATTTGTAAATCTGATATTAGTATCATTTGTACTATAGACATCTAACCAGTTTTCTTTTTTAATTTTTTCCTTTAATTGTTTTTTGTTGAGAATTGACTTGTATTTTTTAGAACATTTTATATTTTCATTTAAAACTATATTACTGACTATTGAGTAGTGATCAGTGATGTGTTTTTGAACAATAGTTGATATGATAGTAGAATTTAATTTGTTGGTTTTAATAAAAAGGTGATCAATACAGGACTTTTCGTTGCCCCTTTCTCTTGTATATTTATTTATATGACTTATAAACCCTTCTTGGCTTAATATACTTGCGTACATATACTTATACTTAATTTTATTTTTAAAACTTTCCTTCACACTTTTTTCAGGCTTAGGACTGGCACCGATTTGCTGGCGTGTTTAAAAGTTTTTTTAATTTTTATATTTTTGAGTCTTTTTTGTTTTTTAAGAATTTACAAAAA